GAGCCACCCAGAACATGGCTGTGTTGGTACACAGCATCTTTCAGAGTTGTTGCATCGAATGATCTTGTGCTGTTCGTTGCCTGAAGTTAAATTTCAGTGTGTGCATAGAGTGGGGGGGAACACAAAGTCCTTGGGGTTTTGGCAACATTCATGGCTTTGCACCCATCTCTGCACATCCACAGTTCCTATATCGAGGGTTAATCTTGTGTATCTGCAATTGCACACTGAGATGCTGAAAAACCTATTGCTGGTGGTGCTTTGGTATCCAAATTTTACTTCATTTAAGCCAGGCATGCCTAACTTTCCTTTGACAGTGAAGATGCTGCTGTCATGTGATAAGGTATGGGTAATGTGTGTGTTTGGGGGAGTTTGGTCATCCGCAGGCTATTCTGCAGGCAGGAGAAGAATTTGTATTTCAGGGGCTTTTAGGGGCAGAATTTCACTCCTTCCCTACTGTAAAGCACTCCAACCTATGTAGGAATTAATTTGATTTAGGACACCCAACAATCACCTGACAGACCACAGCCTCTGGGAGTTACCAGCCTGACAGGGCTTGACTTGCCTGTGGGGGAGTCAACAGCTCAGAAGTTCTGGGCTTGTACCTTGCCCTTGGCTAAGAGTTTGGAGGAGGAAAATATAAGCATGTGGTTGGTGAGGAGCGGAATTTTATCTTACTACTGTGTAGAGATGTGTGTTCAGATGAGGATGGCAGCTGTGGGACCAGGCTGTGAGGACTATTCCTGTTTTCTCCACAGTGATGTGCCTGGATGTCTCCAGAACCCACACCAGGACTTCGTTCTGGGTGTGTGCTTGGACTGGCATCCAAGGAGAACAAATGGATTTCAGAACTTATGCCAGAAGGGTTTAGTGGTGGAAGAAGAAATGGGAAAAAGATAGAGAGCAGAGATAATTATGCCAAGGATATATAATTATTCTTTGGCGCTACATGTCTTACACATCACACAGGATCCTGAAAATGCTGAGGTCAGACCTGGGAAATGTGCTGCAAGACAAACACTTCCAGCTGTTCCTCTGAAAGCAAATCTCAACAAGTACCTTCCAGGAGGGAATGTGTGGGCTCACTTATTTTGGAAAAGAAAAAATCTCACCATTTCAAGCCTTCAGTATTCACCTCTGTAATTAAAATCTCTAATCACAAGCAGAGTGCAATATGGGACTGTCTTAAGGGAGCTGTTTCTTAAGGTGGTTTTCCATTTTTGCACTATTTAGCCCCTGCCTCGATGCCAGGCTTTACTTAACCTTAAGCTTGTGAACAGGCTTATTGAATTTGGCCAAGACTTAACTAATCTGTAATGAGCTCCAGGTTGCCTGGAACTTGGCAGCACCACTGTGCTCTGTGCTTTTGCATAATGGCCTGACCCTGTGTAACCACAGCTTCGTCTTGAGCCCCTTCCCAACCTCTTTGAGTTCCCAATCAGGGACCCTGGGCTTCATGGAGGGGCTGCCCTCATAAGGGCAGTCCTGAGTGCCAAAAACCTTGTGCTCTCATGCTCTTCCACAGGATGAGAGGTGGGAGAAAGTACAAGAAAAGCCCAAACCCACTGGGGAAGAGAGGGGATGCAGCAGTGGCAACCAAATGAAAGCTGGTGCCTCCTCCCAGGCATCTGTGATGGCTGGAAAGACATCAGAGTTCTGACCATCCTTCTCCTCCTCTGGCTACATCAGGCTGGTATACAGCCTCCTGTGGTCCCCCTGCACATGGGAATGGAGGATGCTCATCCTGAAAGCTCTTCCATTTCAAGCTTGCTAGGTGGCTTTCACTGTTTATTACATCATTTTAGTAAGAGAAACTGGGAGGACTTGATTTATGAAGAATCACAAGGATAATTCAGATGTTGCTCTAAGTAATTTTTTCCCCTATTGTTTATTTAGATCAGCTCAACCACTTGAGAAATGCATTATTTGCTTTCTACATATTGAGTGTCTAATGATGAAAATAAATTGTTACTGCTCTTTATTGTGCATTTCCCATAAGACTGACATGACACAGAGAAGGAACCGGATTCTTTTCTTCTAGCATGACACAGGGAAGATTGTTTATAGCACTTCAGCTCCAGCCCTCTGCAAGCCAGCTGAGAGCAGGATCATTAAAGGCAGGATTTAGAGCCTGTGGGGTTGCATAAATTGATTGAGAGCAAAATTTTTCAGACAAATATTTTGTAACGAGCAAGGAGGGACGAATCTGGTTTGGATCTTGTACCCAGCAGTAAGCTGGAGAAAAAGATCTCCTTACAGAAAAAATGTATAAAATGAGCTTGCCTCGTTTGGAGATCAGAGTGCCAAATATAGACCCTATCGCATTTCCTTCCCTCCTCCTTCCGAAGCTCGTCCTTTTGAAGTGCACTTTCAATGAGATGTGGATAATTGACTCTGTGAACAACTGACCCAGGGCTCTGCTGGTTTAACTGATTGCTCTCAGTTGCTGACTCCTGTTCTGTTTTGGATGATTTTCAGCCCAATTGCCCCGTCAGTTGCAATTAGTTGCATTAATATGACAGCTGAAAGGTCACAGATGACTTGCACTGGTCACAGGCACGAGGGCAGGCAGGAGATGCTCCCAGCATGTTGTCCTCAGCCCCATGCTCATGTGCCCCTAAATTGATGGTGACTGCAGATCCTAGTCCGATCAAAAGGGATGTGAGGTTTGCTTCACAGGAGGGTGATTGAGAAATGAGGGTGCAATGACAACCAACACTTGGATGAACTTCTCTTTAATTAGTCAAGAAGGTTCCTGGTTCTGTATACAGGGGAAATGTGGAATGGCCTCTCACCTGCCAGAGCTGTGAGGAGAGGAAGCAGAAGTGGGATAGAGTTGTAGGCACATCCTGTGTCTCTTTCAACAAATCCATGGCTGTTGTTTGCTGTGGTTCCAAGTGACATCTGCCATGGCTTCAGGCTTTTGTCTCTTCCACTGAGGATTTCCACTTAGAGGAATGAAGTGGGAAAGGGAAAAGCATGCAGATGAGTGGAACACCAGGGGATCATTTAATTTCTTAAGGTTGGTAGGGGTCAGATGCACACAGGTGCAGGTCAGACATTGGACTCATGGGTCTCATGGTCAGTGTGTGGCCATATTATGGCCCAAACAGTATCACAGAAAATGTTGTCTGGTTGTTCACTGGTCTGTACACTTGGCCTTTGTGCAAGGAAGGAAACAGAAGGCACCCAAAGTACCTCGTTTGAATTACATATCCCCAAAACACCATGGGAAGACCCCAGTTGGAGATGGTTTACTTACAGAGCAGGATGCTTAGCCTGGTGAGGTTCTGCAACAGTCTGTTTTTGGTTTGATGTTATTTGACATTTTCCTTAATTTCCTTGATGATGGAAAAGGGAATGTGGAGATTCAATATGAAGATGAACCCCACCTGGGAAGAGCTCACAGCAGCCTGGCAGAGAGGGTCAGGATTTACAGATGACCTCCACAAACTGACCAAGTGGTGTGAGAAGGATAATTTGTGTTTAGGTAAAACCTTAATGATAGGAATATGTGAGAGTAAACCATCAAGAGAGGCTAGAGTTCGTGTCACAGGAGGTTTTTATGAATCAGTGGGACAAACTTTTATGAAGTACCATAGATGTATTTGTTGCTGCTGCTTCAGATTTCTGTTTGGAGGTCTGCAGTTCTTTGTGGGGTGAGATGAGTATTTTATTCACTTTTTAAATGAAAAATTGACATTTCTATGAGTAGCACATACTTGGTGAAAAATCCCTTGGCCAAGGACCAACATTTCCCTCGAGTGACAGGCCATGCACTGTGCTGTCATGCACATCAATTCTGGTTGAATCCACACAGGTCTGGACTTATAGGAACATACAGCCTACAAAAATTCCCCCTCTATTTCTCCAGAAACTGCACTTTCTGCAGATATCTGTGAGGTCCAGAGGTCAGTGTGTTGAGCTGAGCTTGTTCCCAGTAAATCTCATCTGGGACTTGTTCCTAGTGAAGACAGCTAGTCCTTTTACAAAGCCTAGCAGCAGGATACCTCTTCTATCAGAGTGTTTCCATCCATGTTTGGGCAACACAATGAATGCAGATGTAGTAGGAAACTTCTGATTATCTATAGGGTTTTTCTGTGAAAACTTCAAAGCTCTGGGGCTAGTTATATTCTGAGACTTTAAATGGATATGTCTTGTGCTCAGAGCTCTGATTTAATGTTCTGGTTTAATCTATTGTCCAAACATCATTAATGTTGTCTTTGAGGCATGGGACAGCTTTGATGGAGTCTTTTTTTAATTTCTGGCTGTCACCCTGTGCAGCCATAAACAACATCCTGCCTGCTAATGAGAAAATTCGTTATTGGAGTCACATGTCTTGTGGAAGTAGATTGTAGTGGCAGGAGAAAAAAAGGAACCAACTTCGCTCACCTTCCACCCCTGGCTAGCGTGAGCATTTGGATTACTGACAGGGAGGAGAAGTTTCCACAGTCTAAGATACTCCATTAAAAAGCAGTGTTGCCTGTTGAAAATGAAATTATTATTTAATAGTCACAGCCATTAATTCCTTAACCTGCTTTTGTGAGTTATCTTTTCTGCCTATAAGCATCTAAAACCTTTCCTAATTAATGCCTTGCACACCAGCTGTCAGGCTTAACCCTTCCTGACAAATTGAGGTTTGTGGAAGGATTTGAGCCATCCTTCAAGCGTGCATTGAGGGAGTAGGATCCTCCATTACAACCAGGTGCATGACATTGGTATCCCACCCATCGCTTTCCCTTCTCCCCCATCTTCTGTAACATTTATTTGGAAAGTGAAACTTGTGTGTGCATGACCTTCGAAAGAAGGGGCAGGAGTGCAAACCCTGGTTTCTGCCTCCTCTCCCACCGTGTAAGTTGATGTTCATCCTTTCAGATGTCCCTGGAAGCAGCCCCTGCAGGTGCAGGTGTTTAGAGGGGGGTGGTGGCTGAGAGCAGCTGCAGGGGCTCCAGCAGCCCTGGTGGCTCCTCAGGTTTTCTCCTTTCCCTCTCCTGTCTCCACAGAGCACGGCTTTGTTGGCTACTCCGAAGAGCTGATGTTCAACAACACACTGCCAGACTACAGCCAGGGGGAGTCCTTCTTCACTGTTTTTGGAGTGTTTTTCCCAGCTGCCACAGGTACAGTTAAGTTTTGCCCTCTCCCTTTTTTCCTCCACAGGGACATCTGGGAGATGAGCAGAAGCACGGGGAGCTCCTCTGGGCTGTGAGGCAAAGCGAGCAGGACTGCATTTGGCCATAGCAGACCCAAGTGGTCATTTCAAATGGTCAGGCTTCTCTCCAGCATCTCAATTTTATTGCCCTCCTGTCTTGTTGACTTGAATGTGCTCTTCTGTCTCTGTGGTTAGAAACTGTTGCTATACTCTGTGGGTGGATGTGCTCCTGTAAATCCTTCCCTGCCAAGGACAAGGCTCAGGCACTGATCTTGGCTATTGCTGTCAGAGATAAAGGTATCAAGCCTATTTAAAAGAGCTAATCATGATTCGTCATATCAGATGAGCTTTATGACTTTATTGCACTGTGAGAGTAGGAAGAGCATAGGAGGACTTTCTCTCCATCCTTACCTTAGCAGGTGGCTGAGCTGGGCTGATGCCACTGCCCACGATGGACCCACCACTCACTGTGTGCTGTCACGGGTTCATCCTTGTATGTCAGCTGAGCTCATATTTATGAGCTTAATTAGATACCTTCCTTTTATGCATTCCCTTACATTACCAGGAAGATGCATGGTCCCTTTCCAGAGCTGACAATCTCGAGTGGGAATGCAGTAACTATCAGTTGAAGTTACAATACCTTTTGTTGAGGCTGGGTATTTTAAACTATAAAAGGTACTGATTATAAGCAGTTTCCATAGTAATGAATCCTTGGATTACAGGATGAATTTTCAGAGGATTAGCTCTAAGCAACTCACTGGAAGTTGCAGAATTTCTATGGTACAAGGAGACAAAGGAAAGGGTTCTGTGAAACAGATGGGACTGGAGGAATGGTCTGGCAGCAGAAATCACTTTTTCAGGTGCACCTAGTGCAGGACTTCAAATTTGTATTTGAGAGCCTCTCTCCCACCTTATCAGGCTGGCTATTGCCTCTGTAGACTTCCTCCTGGAAAACTCATTTTCCTGAGCTCTTGACACCGTGGAGAAGATGTCTTCTGCTCTCTTTTTTGTTGCCATTTTTGATTGGCCCAAGTGAGTCCCCAAAAGAAAAAGACTTTCCTTGTGAGCTCTGACACTGATGTAGAAAAGCAGGTTTTTATCCAGTTCTTTGCTTACAAAGGAAGGAGCAGTTATGACAAAACTGTGCAGAAAATTATGGTGATTAACCATATTAAATGATTTTTCGTCACTGCTAATGCTTGGCTGCTAGGAAGAATGCCAAAGCTAATATATATAATTTCTTTAAAGCCCTTGCAGCCTGTTGCTCTGTTTAGTTAGCAGTAGTAATACCAGTAGTAATGTCAAACATTCTCTGAAAATACAGTTTGGGATGATGTATTATGACTTTGGTTGTTAACACAGCTTTTTCATGTGTTCTTTTTAATTGCTTGGTTATTTACAGGATTTAAATTATTCCTTCAGAGTAGCAGTGCCAGTGGTACCACGTAACATCACTATCACTCCTGTTGCTGTTCTGAGTATTGTGGAGTTCAGGAGCCTCATAAAATGCAGGGCTGTGTTTGGTGCTCTGCATGGAAGAGCTTGTGGTCTAATTAAGAAATTTCTAGGATGGGAGTCAAGACTTCTCTGCTGCCAGTGCTGCTGCTTCAGGGCAGGCAGCGTGGTGCAGATGGTGAGCAAGTGGCACGGAGGAACGACAGGGACAGGTTAGCACTGCTCTCAGGCTGTCCCCTCCAGCCTGTGATCCTCCCCACCACTATTCCCCAGGGGTACCCACCTCTGCTGGAACCCCCACAGTGACCTGGCTGAAGCAAAATCCCTTGCCTTAAGACACAACAGAAATTTGGGGAGAGTTTCAGCAAACAATATGCTGTTTAGATTTGAGGGGTTACATTGAGCCACTTTGAAGCAGTTCTTTGACCCACAGCAATGTTCTGTTTATCTTTAATCATTAAATGTTGTGTTTACTATTTTTAATTTTTAGCATATGCTAGCTTGCAATTTAAGATGCTATTTTGATAACAAAGTTTTTAAAAAGAATATTTCGGAAATTGTGAAACAAATGTTTGGGCCTTTCAAGATGAAATGTTCCTCTTTGAAGTGAAACTATTTTGATCTCTTCAGGATAAGCTTCTTCCTCTCTCTCTGAGATGGCTATCTGAATTCAACCAGTTTAAGTTTGGTCTCTGGGATATACTGAAAAGTGGTTGTAAGTTGCCCATATCCACCAGACACAGCAATGAAACAGAAATGTCTGAAATGCAGGCTGGTAGCTGTAACAGCAAAGAGGGGCAGCCACTCCAGGAAGGGGGAGCAGGAGCTGTGGGGACGCCCTTGCTGGGACCAAACAGGCCGGGGGAGCAGCTGGAGACATGCTTCAAGTGATGGGCATAGGGTGGTCATCCCAGCCTTTTGCAGACCAGTAGCATCATGCTGCCTCCTATGAACATCCTCCTTGGATTGTCTTGCTCCAGGTCAGGTTGTTTTCTCTGTTCCTCTGTGTTTTATTGGTGTGACTCCAGCAGTGCCAGTGAAGTTTCCCCAGTTTTACAGCTGAGTGCTGGTAAGCATAGGTTGGTCTGTTTGCTACCTGTGTAATAGCTGTTTAAACCATTTCAGCTGGATGTTCAGTGTAGCTGGCTTTATTCCCCCAAGTTTGTCATTTAATCATAGGGAAGTAGCCAAGGAATCCAAAACATACATCTAGAGCTTGCCTAAATGGGAGAGCATGGGCATGGAAGACTCGGATTTGCTGGCTTCGGTCAAAAGACTGAAATATACTCTGTGGAAGATGTGAAAATGCCCCTATAGAGACGCTGTACATTAGCCAGCTGTTCTTCTGCATGTTTGTAAATACCTTCTCCATGCACACATTTTGCTGCTCTGCTGTAATAGGTGAACACTTGGATACCCACCCAGCCAGGGCTTTTCAACAGGTAGGGAGTCTTGGGACAGGCAGCTCCCAGCAGCAGCCACGCAGCCATCACTGCATTTTTAAAATTAAGATAAATGTTGTTTCTGTTGTGCAAAGAATGCTTTTTTACTAAATCTCCAAGGTATTCTGTCTAATGAAAGAAGTGTGTTGCCTTGTGATACAAGAAAGTAAGATGTCGTTTGAAGTGGTGTTAGAGGAAAATATCACTGCACAGAAACCAGTTCTGAAATAAACCATATCTGGCACTTGCAAAATGACAGCAAATAGATTTAGAAGTTTTGGGCTAAGTTATCAGATGATGTAAACTGGCACAACTCCATTGAAGCCTATGGCGAGGTGCCAGCTTACATCAGTGGAGAAGTTGGCCCTTTAAAAAAAATTAGCTGCACGCGTTATCTAAGATTTTCCATTCTTCACCTCCTGGGTGAAGGGAAAAAACCACCTTTTATATTTTATAGTATGTTCACTGAAAAATGCACTGGGCGTTTACAAGAGCGATCATATCTGCAGCTATAAACCATGGCTGGTGGGGCTGATGGCTGTGTCTGACACACAGTGTAGGTGGTCCCTCATGCACGTATCCACTGGATGATGCCCAGGACCAGATTACACTGGGAATAGCAGCAATGTACAGACTGTCTCAGCCATAATTTCCTGGCTGGGTTGACTGTGTTTTCATGCTTCTTTGTCCAGAAGCTTCGTCACTATCTGCTGCTCTCTTAGATAATAGCCAGTGTGGAAAATCCAGCCTCCTATCTCATTGAAACAGAGTGGTGGATAATTTTCTCCATGGACAACCTGCAGATATGATTGCTTGAGTTCAGAAGGGATTAGCCATTTCCCTAGGGATAGGCCTGTGTCTGAAGGAAGGAACATCCCAATTTCTCTGAGTTTTAGATGCAAGTGTGAGGTTTTTCCTCTGTTGAGCAGCCAGAATCTCTGACAAGGCTTTTTGTGGATTTCTGCAAGTCAGATCAGGCAGGGGGTAGCTGAGGCTATGAATGGTGAAGATTGTTTAGGATGTTATTTGTTTTAATTAGTCAGGTTGTCCTTTTATTGAAAAGTAGGCTGCTTAGCCAGCTGCTTGCAAAAGACCCTCTCAGAACTGCTCTTTGGCAGCTGTCATCCCTTCTGGAAAATCACTTTTTTGGTGGAGAGGTGGCTCTGACATTGTCCATACATCCTTACTACCAGATTGTCCATACCTTTGCACTGCTCATGTCAGAGTCATAATTGCAGCACAGAGGAGATAGCTTTGGCTGAGAAAATCTGAGTTGGTTCCCTCTTTGGTTGTGGAACCCATGTAACTCTGGTGACCTCCTGGGAGCCCTGACAGAAGCTGGTGGTGTGCAGTGGCCTGGGTGTGACCCCTGCCCACTGGCAGGCAGGAGGTCAATCATCAGTCTCAAGATCCTCTTTATGTGGGCTCTGGGAAGTCATCTCCTGGCTTCTCCTGCGTGTGTGGGTCTGTGGGAGGGAGGCAATGAGGCAGCCCAGGCTGTGCAGTCATCACCGTGCCGATGACTCACGCCTTCAACTTTTTTATATTCAGTCCAGAAAATGCCATTTTGGTGCTTCCCCAGTGCTTTGCTGAGGCAGGACTTTGGATGAGGAAGAGGTGACTCAAGCTAGAAGATTTAAAGGTGGTGCCAGATGTTTGAGAAACTGGGCCAAGAAGCACATGAGATTAACAGCTGTCTTCCTGACAATAGTTTGTTCTCTTTGGAAGAAAAATTCAGAGAATTCTGAGTTTTCAGCTTTGTCTCTAAATTGCGAAGTGTCATCAAAAAGTTCCTCATAGAGACTTTATTTAACATATTTGTGACCATTTCCATGGACTTCTGCCTTCCTAACTTTTCTCACCTCTAGCTAAGCCTGTTGTGTAGCTGTTTAAAGGAGAAGTGCTTGAGCACTGCATGGAAGTTTTATCTAGAGAAAACCAGGGCAGCTAACAGGCTTTTAGCTGTGCTGTTCAGAAGTATATCCACAAAATAGTATTCCAGGAGAAAATTAAGAACTTGATTTGTAATGCTTTCAGTATGGTGTCAAGGATTCAAATCTGGTCTGAATTTGGAGGAAAAGTTCTTCCAGAAGCTGAGGAATGCCAGGATTCTGTGGGGACCAGGGAATAGTTGTCAGGGCTCTGGCTCCATGGTGGAGATGACAGGAAAAGATGGCTGGTGAGTGGACTGATCAAGGGGGAAAAAAAAGATGATCAAGGAAAAAGCATTAATAATAAATAAATAAAGCCCTGGATGTGTTTGGCAGCATGAGAGTGGCTTGTGCTCATGTATATGCTGTCCTCGTGGTAGGGCAGTGAGGAGAGGAGGTGTCACAACTCCCTTTGAGCAGGTCTGGAGATGGTGCTATGAAGATGCACAGCAAAGCCTGGGACAGAGCAGAGCAGGGCTTGTGTTCCATGATTAACAACCCAGCCATTGCTGACAGCTCATCAAAGGCCAAGGTCTGTAGGGAATAGGGAATAGGGAGGGCATCCATCTGGCTGATTTGGGTTTGTCCCCTTTACCCAGAGATTGGTACCATGGCTCTTGTCTATCCTTCATCTTGGGAAAAAAACCTTCCAAGCAGCAATCAGTGAGCTTTAAAATGCAATGGGCTGTTGCTGTTTTAGAGCTGTAGTCACTCAGATTTGCAGCTGCAGAGGCTGACTGCCATTCTCATGCCCTCTGAACACGAGGAATGGCTGCTGGGCTGGGCAGCCATGGTGGGCTGGCTGTGGTTGGTCCCCTGCTGCTGGGGCTGCCAGATGCTGTGAGTGCCATGGTGCTGGCATCTTCCTTCCCATTGTTCTGTGGTGATCTCACCCTGGCCCCAGGGACTGTGCCATCAGCACTGCTGGCTGGCTCCTGGCCCACTTGTCCTTAGGAAGACATTAGTCTGACATCTCAGGGGGGCACAGTGATGGGTAGAAGTTAATGTCCTAAAGTCTTGGGTCCTGCCTTCAAATTGTCCAAATTCTCATCAGTATTCCAAATCACATGGTTTTATTTCTTTATTTTTATTTATAGCACATACCTGATGTCTTCTAAGAAAACTTTTGGCAAAATGTGACAAGGGAATCTCTGTTTTCTTGACAAGTCTGGTGTGACTCCTCCTTCAATTATGGACAAAGCCCATTAACTAACCTGTACCTTGGCTTTCTAGTCTTAATGTAGAGACTCTAATCCATTTCCTCTCTTGCATCTTTGGATGGTAATTTTTTAGGCTAAGGACTGTCCCTGATTGTATAATATCCTGTACTCTGGCCTAAAAAAACAGTTCAGTATTTTATTCTTAGTCCTACCATGTGTTTTCTACGTGACACTGGGACAATCACTTGCCCTCTCAGTGTTTCTGTTTTCCTATCTGCAAGGCAGAGATAATGCCTACTTCCAAAGCAGATCTCTTGGCTGGAAGGTGCCACCTACGTGCTGAGAACACTGTTATTCCCTCTGCTAATGTGATTATCATTAAATATGGACAGAACAGTCTGTTTTGTAGCAGTGGCTGTCCCCTGTGAATGCAGGGACCTGTAATGGATCTGGTCTGGGGGTTGTACCACCTGCTGCATGTGCTGCCCTGATGAACAGTGGCATTTCTCTTCTCAACAATTGTCTCCTGTTAGGTTTGTATGAAGATAAGATGGGTTTTGTTCAAATACTGTTTTCCCCCCAGCATTGTTCAAACTGGACAGAGGATTCTTTGACATATTAGTGTTGACTTGCTTCTCTTAAAGAAATCAACAGTTTTTTACCAAGCAATTGATGGGAGCCAGTATCTGTCTGTGTGGCAGTGCAATGAAGTGATATAGTTACTGTTCTGAAACAATCAATGAACTGATTGATTAAATTATATTACATATTGCAGTGTGTATTGTGTATACTATAACTTAGACTGACTCTAAATTGCACTTGTGTCTGCAAAATACAGGCGTGATGGCTGGGTTCAACATGAGTGGGGATCTCCAGAAGCCTTCTACCAACATCCCTGTGGGGTCTCTGGCTGCTATTGGCACCTCGTAAGTCATTGGTTGGGGAAAATTTGCTCTGGAGACTGCCAGTGAGACTGAGTGTGACCAATCCATTTCATATTCCCATCAGCCTTTTATTACTCAGCCATCTGGAAAATTAAAGTGTGGCTCTCATTCAGATTGTCATCCATTGCCACCACATGCTCTGGGTGGGTTGGAGATGTTTGTTGGTGTGGATGTACTCAGTCCTTCCACTGCTGGGTGGGATCTGTGCTGGTGCTGGGGTGCTGCTGCAGCCTGCCTGTGCCAGAGTGGGATGAAGAGTTCTCCAAGGCCTGGGAGGGGGATGATTTTGTCATTCACTACTGTTGATTTCAAAGGAAGGGTTTTTTTGCTTTTTTTCCCCCCCTTGCATTATATTTCTATATAAATAGAAAAGAAGTATCAACATTTTGTATTTTTTATTACTTGGAAAATGAGGCCGAGAGAGGAGAGATGACCTATCCACCTGCAAGACAGGGGAAACAGAAGCCCTGCATCACCAAGTCGTGCTCTTCCCAAGGAAATGCTACTTTCCAGGAGAGCTTTCCACTGCTGCATATTTAAAAAAAAAAGACTTCAGTAGGTTTTCCTGCCTGCTTTTGTTGCCATCTAAATTGCCTTTGAATTTATTTCTTTTAATTGTGTACCAATGTTCAGTCAGGAAGGAAGATTCTTCACAATTTGGAGGGATTCCTGCTGAAATTCGTGCTTGTTTTAAGAGGGGGGATTCCACAGGACACAGAAGTATCACATGAACCCATCTATCCAAGGCTGTGGTCATTCCCTTCTCTGCTGTCCAGGCTTTATAAAAGTATCCCCCAGCCTGAGTATGGAAAGGCCAGAACACCAGAAGAGGATCTGAGGCTGCAGAGCAGGCTGGCAGTGCTGGCAATGTTACTGCTGGATGGGGGGACCTGTGTACCTGCAGAGCCACAGAATCACAGAATGGTTTGGGCTGGAAGGGACCTTTAGGGGCATCCAGTCCAAACCCGTGCAGTGAGCAGGGACTTCTTCAAGCAGATCAGATTGCTCAGAGCCCCATTCATCCTGAGCTTGAATGTTTCCAGAGATTGGGCATCCACCACCTCTTTGGGCATCTATTCCCATGTATTACCACCCTTATTGTAGAAAATTTGTTCCTTTCAGCTAGTCTGAATTGACCCTCCTTTAGTTCATACCATTACCCCCTGCTGTTTTGCCACAGGCCCTACTAAAAGGTTTGTCCCTAGGACTGGGATATTTCTCCCTGCACACCTAAGGGGTGCAGGTATCTTCCCCCCGGGGGTACCTGCAGTCGTGCTGCAGCTGTCCCTGGCACATTACAGTGGGTATGTAAAATGGATTGGTGTCAAATTTATCCCTGAAGCTAAATCATTCAGGAATCATGCAAAGTGATTGAAGACCCAGCTTGTGGGCATTTGACTGTCTCCTGGCTCTCCTAGTGGCTGAATTCTCAATGGTCTTCTCTTGCTGTGAAGAAATTGGTTTATTTTTGTTGTTTGCAGGTGGTTTCTGTACATGGTCTTCGTTTTTTTGCTGGGAGCCATTTGTACCCGTCAGTCACTCCGCTATGACTTCATGATAGCAGAGAAGGTGACTTGTGCTTTTATTTAATGGTGCTTTCAGGTTGCTATCAGCCTTACTGAATGCTTGAGTTTTCCAAAAGCCTAAGGAATTTGGGTACACATCCCTCATTAAAATTCAGAGAGATTTCCCTGTTGCAAATCTCAGTGTACAATTGATTTGAATAGCCTTGCATTCACCAGCATATCCCGTAATGCCAAATCTTGGCATAATCACCCAGCAATAGCTTTAAGAGCTAAAGTATGGTAATGTGGTCTAATGATAAATGCTGTATTTTATTCAATGTATCCTTTCTTGTTGTTGGAAGCTTAGACCAAATTGAAATCTCTAAAGACCCCCCCTGCTTATCTTTACTAAGTCAAGCGAAGCTCACATTTCCATATCTAGCAGGCTGTAATTGCAGGGTGTGCAATAGGATTATTAAACTCAAGACATTCCACACAGAGTATTTACACGAGGGGGGTTGTAGTGTAACACACAATGAACCTTAGTACTGCAGGCCTCTCAAAAGAGAGCAAGAGATTTTGCTGTGTTCCATTGTCTGTCTTTGGATGGGATATGGAAGGGCTAATTTTCTGTTATTCAGTACTATCCAAAATCACGGGTTCACTGTATTTGACACTACTTTTTGTGATTCATTTGAAGTTGAGAAGTTGACATAGTTTGATCTGTAACATGGTTTTAGTCTACAATATCAATTTGAAACTCTGACTTTGTTAAGTAATTCCAGCTCTAAACTTCTTCCAGCCCCCCAAATAAACTCCCAATTATTGGTGGGACTCTGCCACTTCCTGCTGAGGTAAAAAAATCCACCTCTGCTTCAGGGAAAAAAAGAATGAACCTGCCTTCTCTAAGGCAACCTCTTTGTATGTCAATGACTTAATGAGCAAAAAGTGCAGTAACCAAAAAAATCAGCTTTAAATGAATCTGCTGAAGAGAAAAAGACTGTTAAAGCTATGTTTTAACTTCAGAACCCTCAGGGGGAAAATAAAAAATCTAGTAATGAATGAGAAGATATTTAATAATGTCAAATACAAAAAATAAACAAGCAAACACCCCTCTCCGAAAAATCAAATTCAATTTTCTTTCCCCTAATATGGAACAAACAAATGGTGCAATATTCATGTTTCTTCTTTGAGTTATTGCAAGATGCTTTAGATTTTAATGACTTTGGAGAGAGGAAAGGGGGAGAGATCATTACTACTCTGAACTCGCCCTTTCTATCACAGGTGAGCGAGTGCTTGGCTGCTTTTCTCCGTTACAATATTTGTTTGGCTTTTTAAACCTAAAAATGCGATTCAGTAATTTCACTTCTAATGAGCTCCAACTGCCAATTCCTGCAATGTATTCACGATCTCTATGTTCAAAATACACAGCAAAACCTTTCATCAGCCTCGGTGAAAGGGACTCTTCCCCTCTAACCCTGATTTGAATGTCAAGTAGCACATTTAAATGCAAGCATTTTTGGCAGCTAAAATAATATATGATGTCTGGCACAACTATTTGTTTCTTCCGAGTATTTCTCAGAGCAGGGTAGGATTAGAGGAGAGGGAAGGGAGGATTCCCCACTGAGTGTCTGTCTGTTGGTCTGATGAGAGCTGGTATCTGCTCATCTTTGCCTCAGGTTCCTTCTGTCCCACAAGATACAATTCACAAAGCCAAGTGGATTTTCATGGGGAAATATTGTGGTAGGAAGTTTGAACAGTTCTGGATCATGACATTAATTTCACGTGCCTTCCCCAACAGCAAGCTTTTTATGGCTTTTTACCCAATCTCTTTTTTGCTGCCTGCAGATTTTGTAGCCAAAAATAGTCAGATGTGGCTTGAATCATCTTTAGTCATGTAAATTTTTGTAATTCTTCCTAATAAAGCATGCGCCACCTGACTTCAAAGGGGGCAGAAGCTGGGAGGACCTGTGCTCATTTAGACCCTCTTTTCCATGGAAGGAGGGATGGGAGCAAAGGACATGTGGGATGCAGGGGACCTGCATTTGGTGACATCCTCTGCCACAGATATTTGTCTGCACCTCCAGCACTTGCTTCAGAGGAGAATGGCCATGTTGGCTTTGGACCAGAATCTGGGGATTTTCTCTCTGCCTGGCCTTTATGCTGGAGTTACCCCCATGCCTTGCCATTCCCTGTGCCTGGCTGCTGGCTGTCAGACTTCTGTGCTCTTGCAGGATTTGGGGGTGTCTCAGTGACCTAGACCTTGTTTTCCTTATTTTTTCTGTCCATGTCCTTACAGTGCTGTGCAGGAGCACTCCCATTTCAAAACTTTCTTGCCCAATGTTTATATTGTGGGGTTTTGTGTATTTGGGTGGGGTTTTTTCAGATATGCTGTCTGTGCTTGCAGCTCTTGACAGTGGGGACTTGCTTAGGGAGACCCCAGTCCTCACTTCTATGTGACAGACCAGGAGTTGTCCTTCCTTTCCCTGCACACCTGCAAGAGATGCTCTCAGCTTGAAAGAGTATTTCAGAAACCAGTTCTAAAACCAGCCTTGTTAGCACTATGGCTTTAAAATTTTTTTTGACTGTTTCATGTTGGCCAAAGGAAATTCTTTTCTCATTGAAGACAGGAAAATAAGGTCATTGTATTATATCCTTTGGAGCATGTTTTTTAAGATGCCATTTACTTAAGTGGCAATTTTGATTTGGTTATACTGTGGGTTTTGTTTCAGGATTGGTTTTCCCCTCTGAGACAGAGGGGTTTGTCTTCCTGTTTTGGATGGTGGGAAGCCTGGGCAGCTTTTCCTGTATGATGTGCTCTGTATATAAGTGATCTCGCCTGAAATAAACTCACTTCCAGTTACTTAAGGGGAATCTAACAGCCGCTGCTTTTCTGCAATTGCTCCAAGTGACAAAGAATTCCTTGGATATGAGCTTGTAAAATGGTTCTGTCGGTACAGGATGTTCAGTATTAAATTACTTTTATGGGATAATTTTCCTGTATTAATTTCTTGTACTTTATACCACAGACCAATTAAATTTCTGCTTTCCCAGGGCTTACTCTGTTCATTTAACAATGTTAGAAAATATATGTGATCTCTTAAAATACATGTATTTAAGACTGCTTGGGTGTCTTTATGGCATAACATAATGAACTTTGCATTCTCTCTGCTTCCTCCAGGTATCCTTGGTGGGTTTTTTATTTTTGCTAGGGCTGTACATCTCATCTCTGGCCTCCTGCATGGGAGGGCTGTATGGAGCACCCAGGATCCTGCAGTGCATCGCCCAGGAGAATGTGATCCCCATGCTTGCCTTCCTTGGACGTGGGGTTAGTCATCTTTTCTCTGGGATTGCTGTCAAACCTTCACCTGAACTTAAGGAGCCAAAATTTCTATGTGTCCATAGAGTGAGATGGGGGATGCATGAAATGTGAGGAGGGGAAGGCTCAGATCTGGTATCCTGTGCACAGGCAGAAAAGCCAGGAAATGAGTGGTTTTATGAAAAAAAACAAGCATCCAGCTGTCTGTGGTGCTTTCCCTGCCTGTCCCCTGTGTGCACTGCCCCTGCTCTGAGCCCTCCCATGAGGTTTGGCCCTGTGCAGGGGCAGCCCTGCTTCACCATCCCAGCTGGCCCAGGCTCTCTGTCCTGCCCTGTGCACACACAGCCCTTCCTGGGCTGGCATCAGTCCCTCCCTCCCTCCCTCTGACCTACTTCTTCAAGGTGTCCCCAGCAGGACAGGCACTTATGATATAACTTTGCCTGTGGGGTTTTTTTGCAAACACCTTGTTCGTGCTGGTGCTGGTCCTGGCCATGACCAAAGGAAGCACCTCCCTCTCCTCTGCCCTCCTGTCCAGGGCAGAAGCCTGAAGCTTTTGTCCCGGCACTTGGTGAAATAGATGGTAACTGTCTCTTTACCTTTTATCTGCTTTTTTTCTTACTCTTCTTTCCTGTACATTTTCTTTCATCTGTTCCTATCCTCTGTGGTAACCTCAGAGCTGAGGACGTGACCACTTGTCATGCTGTGGATTCAGACTGTGTGCAGTGGAGAAGAGGACACTTCTCTGTAAGATAAGGTGCCTTCAAGACACTATTAAATAAAACAGAACAGATTTGAAAGGTTAAGTTAGGGGTCTCCTAAGCTTTAGATATGCATTGAAACAAAGTCTTGCTTGGAATATGACAAGAAGCTTTTTCCTTGCTTCATGAATAGTTTTTATGCACAAGTCATTCTGCTAATATCAGCCACCAAGGACTCTGTAGTCTTGTGCTATACATCCATACATGATGTTCCCTTTTTCTGAATAGGAGAAAAATAATTCCATCACTCTCAATAACCTGCAGTACCTGTCTGTACAGAGTGTCTAGAAAAGCCTTATGATACTTTGTTCCTTCAGAATGGCTTAAACATATGGAAAAATATTTTTCAGTATTGATATTTATGAATGTTTAAAAATATTTAAATATTTTGTAAGTGTAATAATTTTCTCTCTGTTGTTTTGTTGTTGTTGTTTCTCAAAGCAGTTTTCTAAATTGAAAGTTACAATACTAGCAAAAATAATAGTAATAATCGTAGGGAAATCAGGCACAATAATGACTGCAAAAACATCCAGCTCCTGAAGGCAGTTTTCAGGTGATCCCAGAACAAGCTGTTCTCTACCAGGCAGCCCTGTGAACTTCTCAGTGTTTAGAAAAGTTGATTCTCTTCTCTGGTAGTTTTCTGTCTTTCTGTCAAATTTTCTGCTCTGAACTCCAGGCAGAGGGCCATGATGGGAAGGGCTCAAAAAGAGGTGAGGAATCAAAGGCAGATCACTTTCCCCCTTTCCTTCTCTCCACCACCTGGGGAATTGTTTAGATTCGGTTTATGGAGAGTAAATAGATTTAATTTTTCCTTAGCAATCTACTCCACATCACTTCTTCTTTTTCGTGGTTGAAGGAGGTGGTGTGGTCAGCATAACCCCAGCTGATGGGAAGGACACAAATGTTTGCTGTGGAGCTAAATCCAAGCCAGATGCATCCTGAGATTATCCTATCTGTTCCCCATCTCAGTACATCTTTTTCATACTGAAGATACTTTCTAAGATCTGTGTTCCTTTGTTGCTGAGACATTTTTGTTCATTCTGAAGAGATGTAATGGTCCAGGACTTGTCCCCTTTTCTATTAATAAATAAGAGTGGAGGAAACAGAAATAGTTTCCATTTGAGCTGTGTGTTTATTAAAGAAGTAAATGCAGTTAAGTGAAAACTTGAGATATTTTATAAGATACCTTATAAGATATTTTAAGCAAGGTCTTGACACAGCTTGCACAGGCTTGTCAGGTGGCAAAGTGGCAAGATGGTGCCTGGTCCAAGGAAGGGTATGTTAGACCTGGGATTAAAGTTCATGAGCCAAAAGCTTGGGTATTTCCACTCCCAATGCTCTTTGTTTTGTGCCTCTTTCCTTCTCCTTCTCCTGACTTCACCCAGTCCCAAAGGACAGGAGCTGGCTCCCTGCCCTCCTGGCACATGGCTGGCATTGCTGGGGCTGCCTGCCACCTCCAGCCTCCTCACCTGCCCACCTCAGTGCTGTTCCAGCTGCTGCTGGGGTGGGTGGAGGGAGGGGAACCCCAGTGCAGAGGCTCAGCCCAGCTGCCTGTCAGGACAGGGCCAGAAGCTGCTGATGTGCAGGTGGCACTGCTTCATGCACAGCTTTTCCAAGGGCAGCAGGAGGGAGCCTTCTGGGTAGGCAGTGATGCAGAGTCCTGTAGAATAATTAGAGATGAACTGTTAACTCTAATTAACACGTTTTATTGCCAGGCTTCCCATAAGCCCCACAAATCTCTCTGAAGGTTTATTGCTGCTTTAATGACATTGTTTCACCATGGAGATATGATGAATTTACCAAAGACAAAGCTTGAATAAGGCTCAGGGATGAAGTGGGAGCTCAACAGCTTTTGGCTTCCAGTCTGTTCTTTAATTTATTAGGCCTGTGAGCCTCTGTTTGCACATGCATGCATGTATTTCATGACCAGAGGGGTACTGCAGACAACCCAGGTAACCACATACGGCTGAGTAAGTGGGGAATCCTCAAGGTTCATGGTTATTAATTGAAATGTAATTTTGTTTTCTTTATGGACTAGAAAGGTCCCAACAAGACTCCAGTGGCTGCGATTTGCTTAACAAGTCTCATCACCATGGCTTTTGTCTTCATTGGGCAAGTGAATGTTCTTGCTCCCATAGTCACCATCAACTTCATGCTGACATATATTTCTGTGGACTATTCCTATTTCTCACTATCCTTGAGCTACAACATTCAGCAGAAAACTGAAGAGACTCAGAAGGGAACTGCTAGACCTGCTCACTCTTCCCAGCCTTTAATTTTCAACAAGTCCCCCAGCCGTTCAGCAGATGGGGTAATTCAAAGCAGATCAAATGGCACCTTGCTGGAATTCAAAAAAGATATGGACCAGCTTTTTAAACCATTTTTTAGTGAGCCAAGTACTTGCAAAAGAGAAGGAGCCGAGAATTTAACCCAGAAGGTCAAACAGAAGAAGGCAAAGAAGCCAGCCAAGCAGACATTACAAGACAGCTTTCTCCTGGATCTCCAACACGATGCTCCCCTGGCTCAGTACAGCTGGGATGAGACCACGGAGCCCCATGAGAGGCAGCAGGATGTGGATGAGCAGGGTGGGCAGTGGGATGCAGTGGGACCTGCTGTGGATGCCCAGCACGTTCCCAGGACTCTGGAGCAGAGGGAACAGCTCTGCAGTGAAGTGCTGATGCTCCCTGGCCCAAGGGGAGAAGGTAAGGGCTGTAGGAGATGGACATCTCCATGTTCAGAGGAAATTGTTTATAACCTTGGTCCTCCCAGTGCTTTCCTGAAGGCAGGCATGAAACGAGTTTAATATGGGGCTGTCATTCAGTGATTCATGGCAATAATATCATTTATTCCAGGTGAGGGTAGAGTTCATTGCAGTGCATCACAGAAGAAGCTCCAATGCAATTTCCTACAGAAGATTAATCACAGGAAAGCAGGCAGGACTAAATTTAGTGTTGGGTTGTTTACGATATACTCATAATTCACAGGCATGCTGAATGCTGTACATTAGGAAGGGTTTAGATGTATCTTGGGATTTACTTCATCCTGGTGTGGGGTAGGATGGTTGGAGCTGTGTGATTCTAAAACTCAGACTATCAAAATGCAGTGGTTCCCCACAACACAGGTGGAGTCTGTAATTCAAGATCCAAAAATGGAGATCTGAATTTGTTCTGTTGGTGATGTGGGTATTTGATACAGCACACGTGCATGGCATTTGTTATTCCCAGTGCTGAAGTGTTTCATCAGCATTAGTCAGTTAAGCTTCTTAAACCCCTCTGAGGGAGAAAAGTATTATTTTCCTTATTTCACGAATTGTGAAACTGAGGCAGAGATAGACAGATGCAGCCTTCAAATGGACTTAGTAGCAGAGTCGTAACTTTTTGGTTTTTTTCTTGCACTTCTTTTCAGTTTTCATTTTAGAGGTTTTGGTTTAACTCTGTCATAACCAGCTCTCAGATAGAATTTTTGCTTTGGTTCCTGGAATCTGGTAATGTAAAGAAGAGGAAAACCCCCCACATTACAGCTCCTTTCTAATATTTTTTTTTTCATTTTCTTTAGAATCCTCTGTAAAGCAACAGAATCCAGAACTGGAAATTCAGCATATACCTGAATCCTTGTACTCCAGATTTTTCAGTCACTGGATTTCCTTTGCTGGTGTAAGTAATTTTCTTTTATTTTGAGCAATGGTTTGGGATTTTAGAAAACAGAAGGAAATTCATCACATACTGCAGTGTAAATATTCCAGTACCTTAAATAATGGCTTTTGATTCTTGTATTCCAGGTCACCTGAACTAAATACTCAAGGTACCATGCATCCTGCATCAAATTCAGGGAAAGCACAATGACATATTAAATTAAATAATAACAGGAAAAAACACAAACAAACACCAACCCAACTCAAAAGTACAAATTCAAAGTCTGGAGTCTTTGGACTTTAAAGATGCATGGCTGCACGGGGAAAAAAGAATCAGTGTCCCTCTTTTCACTGTGTGCCAGTCTGCTTTCTCTTGCTGTGTAATGGACTGAGACATCATCTTCAAAGCTGTGTTGCTTTTATTAATGGGCCAGTTTCTGCAAGCTTGGGGTGGGGTTTCATTAGTGCTGACTTCCTGATACCATCAGCCCACCTAAAAAATTCCATCTTTTGAGGGAGGAAAGGAGAGCATTCCTACAGCATGTTACTTTAAATAACTTTTAAATAGCTTCTGCCTCAAGCTGCTGAGAAGTTTAAGACACTTAAATTCATCTTGGGAAGATGGATTATTGGGCAGATGACAGGGAAAGGGTCAAATATGCATAATGAATGAGCCATATGGCTTTGCTGCATGGATGAGGATTTCATGGCTGTGCATAAAATGAAACAAACCCACTCAAAACCCACCAAACCCCATTAGTTTAATCCTCAGATGGAGCTGGACATCTACTTTTGAAATTCATCACTGGTGCCAGCTGCCAGCTCCTGGGGAGGGATCCCACTGGGCTGCAGCACAAGGGGTAGGCTGAGAGTGGTGGCCCCTCTTTAGGATGACATTTTAAGGAGGTTGTGTCATGTCATGGCAGAGCCATCAGCTCTCTGCCTTTGCAGGGGAAGTTTGCTTAGGGAGGTGATGGATGTGCTCATTAAAGAAAACTTGGTTTCCTGTTGACAATCAGGCTTGGGAGGAGGTTGCAACAGAGCTGGGATGGGATTGACAATGCAAAATAAAATCACAAGAGCAAAAATTGGATGTGTTTACTCATCCTGACTCCTCTCCCCTCTGCCCTCTTTGAGCGTCACCAGTTGTGTCAGTTTGGACCATTTTAGCTCTTTCTTTGTGTGCTGAACCTTGCTGTTCCAGACATCTCCCATGGAGATGCTACTTCTGCCCTGTTTGTATGCAACTTGAGCCAAATCTCCTCCTGAGCTGGTGAGCCTCTGGATATGTCCCTTGGAGAAGCCCAGGGAGAGACCCACGCTGCCTCTGGGGCTCAGGGAAGCTCATTGGAGCTACCTCCATGCTGCTGAAGGTGACACTGTAAACCTGTGCTGTCCCTCCTTTGAAGAGTGACACCAAAGAGGCTCCCTGTAACACGGAACCCTGGGCTTTGACTGTCAGCATGGTCTTAGACTCTGGGGTAACTCCAACTGTGTCTTTCCAACAGGCAATCGTGTCCCTCATCATAATGTTTGTCATTCAGTGGATCTACACCCTTGTCAGTCTGGGAGCAGCAGTTATTCTGTATTTCTACATTGGCCAAGTGAGCCCAGGGCTCCCTCTTGGTGAGTTTTTTTTATCCTGTGTTATTAAACCCGCTTAAAAATTCATTAATCTTTAATTTAAGTTAATTAGGAATTGAGACTCTTGTATTTAATATGCAGGTGGCACAGTGAACAGTGACAATTTATTTCATTGTTAGTTTTAATACATTTTCTCTCTGAGTCTTTAATTTTCTGTTAGACTCTAACTGTAACTAGCATTGGTTTGATAGTTTCAACATGGTGCTTGCTGCTTTCTTATATCATGCTTTAAATGGCAAAACCAGGTACTAACATTTGATAGGGACAGCAGTTTGTAAATGTATCCCAGCACTGAGATAAATCTGCAGTAAATAACTTTTATTAAACCTAATCAATCGAAACCCACCTGAGAGAAGTTTAAGGAAAATGGGAATTATGATGAGTGTCTCATCAAATCTCAGCATTCATAACTGTGGAACAAGAGAGCCTTTTGATTCCAGAGCTAAACATGTTGAATATGTCGGGAACATAATCTGGGAAAATACTTTTAGGCAGAGGGCATTAGAAAGATCTGTGCACATGATCGGCTTAAATAAGTTCAAAATTAAACAGTGAAGCACATTCAGCAAGCAGCTCATGGGAGCCCACAGCTCCTTGGCAAGGCCACTGGGGGGTTTGCAGTGCTCTGTGTCTCTGAAGGGAAATGGTGTGGGCATCCTCACCTGCTCATGACTATATCCATCCATCCATCCATCCATCCATCCATCCATCCATCCATAGGCAGGGGTGTGAGGTGCATAGCTGAGTGCATGTGCCTGGATGTGCAGTTTTTTTGTTCAGGATGAGAAAAATCAAAAGCCTGAGTTCATATTCAATATGTGCAGAAATAGCTACCTGGGTTAATTTAGGTGAAAGATTATTAGACAGGAGGTAAGTACAGACTAGATTTCAGAAATGAAGATGATGAGAAACCAAAAACTAATCACCACCTTCCAAACATTGCTCAATAATTCTTTTTCTACTCTTGAGTGACTTCCTTTCTATGTATCTGTAGGGGATAGCTGAAAAAAAGCTGAGATTGTGGACAGTAGTTGCTAATTTGTATCTTTTGAAATATATATAAGTTTTAACTAATTTGTTTATGGTCCCCATATATTAAACAAAACACAAATAATGTTTTCAGCCTTTGAGTCTTTTTTGCTTTTGTATACTCACTGTATTATATCTCTGTAATCTGCTTTTGAGATATTTACCAAAAATTACTTAAATAAGAATTTCTCTATCAGTATGTTGAGGGTTTTGGAAGCTGACCTGAGAAATAGCAGCATGATTAGACATTTTTTTCTTGGTTTCTTTTGCATGTGCATTCTCATGCATACAGTAAAAAATGCATGCCATTGAAAATGTTAGAAATGAATGCTGAAAATTCATGCTCATTTTTACTTGGCTGTAGGGGAATGTTATTTTGTGGTCACAAGGCTCCCAATGATCTGTGAGTTTGCTCTTCAAAGTCTCTTGTCTGGAAAGGTTGGGAGACACTGGCCTGAGACACACTGGATTAGGGGCTGGATGAAGACCTTGGGAGGAGAAATGCCCTGTGGATGACACATCCCTTCTCTCTCCTCCTCTCCAGCAGCCTAAGCTAAGTCCAGCAGGTGCTGACAGGGCTTGGTTCTCCTTCTCCCTCACCATAAACTTCTCCTGCTGCTTTTGCTTCCATCTCTGGCACATCCTTGCTCCTGCAGGGACCCAGTGCAGGAAACTAACTCTACTGAGAAATCAGAAAAGAAATCAGTGTTGGTGTAACAAGCTAAGCCAGCTCTCCATGGGGTCAGACAAGAGGGAATGAATGGTGAGACCACAGCCACGCTGGCTGAGATTGGCTGAATGGCTCCTCCTGTCTCCCCATCCCTGCAGTGGGAATGGTTTTTGCAGTCCAGGGAGTGAAAGGTACTGTGGTGAGTGTCTGTACTTTGCTCATGCTTTACTGGGCTTTCACAAGATGTTGGGCTGGGAATTAATAGCTGTTCTCCATTGGACATTTGGATTCGTATCTGGAAAGTTGCTTAAAAGCCACAGCATGTAGGAAGACTGCAGGAATGTTCTCACTATCACAAAATCTTTGGGTACTGCAGGCTAATAACAAGTGTGCTGGTTTGAGATTTTATGCAAAAATTCAGTGGTATAATGCTATTATGAGAGAATTAGCAGCATACTGATTTCTCATGCCTTTTCTCCATAGGAGCAGCAGCAAATTTCAGTTTCTTTGGCTGGATTAAGTCGGTTTTGATCACTTCATGCAGGTTGGTACCAGTCACTTGGCAGTGACCAACATGCTGCTCATTGCTCCCATGACCCACTAATGAGCATAGAGAGGGCTGGAAGAATTGACTTGATTATTACCTTAAGCAGTCTTTCTGCCCCTTCTTGCATGCTCAGGGTTATTCTTGCTTAATGGTGAAAAGAGCTATTTGCTCCCATTAGCCTGGCATATGGTTGGCTGTGTATGTGGGGAAGCAGGAGTCTCCTCTGCTTTGTGTGTGGGAATGTCTGCTGATAGCCATATCTTGGTGCCTGAAGCTTTATCTTACCCCAAAGGTCTGAGCTCAAAATTTATGGCTCAGGTTGAACTGGAAAATCTGAAAGGAAATGAGAAATTGGAGACTCCCTCTCTTCCACCCATCATTCAGCGAAAGCAAATTCCTCTGGTGGTGGTGGAGCAGGCACACATGGTTCCTGTGTTCAAGCTTCAGAGAGGAAATTTGGGGCAGGGGAACTGCAGTAATTTCGGGACAAATAAGATAAACAGGGTCTTTGGTGAAGGAACCATTCAGTATTCAGTTTTCATGGGACTGCAGTAGCATTGTCTTGGGGTTTTGATTCCCAGAGGGCTTTTTTTTCGTTGATTATTAACTAGTTTTGTTAAACTTATTTGATGCTATTAATTATTAATTCCATCACATTTGGTTTCCTATAGCAGCTTATGAGCACCTCTGCCTCTGAGCAGTGGGCTTTGAGTTTCTCAGTCTGCTGGTTTGTTTTTTTTTTTGGGGGGGGGAGGAGTGAATGCCATAGCGAGGACTGTGCAACACGAGCTGCCATGCATTGTATGTGCCAATTTGCTGGCTCCTTCAAAACAGATGAAAGTCCAGGCAAGTAAGCACATTGGTCTGTCTTGCCAAGTCCTGTCTCTGCCCACAGTTCCTATAACATGACCACACACTTTTGGTAGCAGAGGTGGTTGGGGAGAGAAGCCAGGGGTGAGGGATCTCTCTGAGGTCCCCATGGTACGTCTTAGACATAACAGCACTTAATTAATCTTTTACAAAAGATTCTCACGGAATTATGATGCCTTTGCATCTTCTCAACAGGTAAAGGGTTGGACTTGGAGGAGTGGAGGAATCAGCCCAGGCTCTCTCATCAGCATTTAGTGATGGTCCTCCAAGTATAGCAAATTTGATAGTTCACTGCTCTGAGAGGCCCCACTCAGAGGGAGGTGCTGGGCTGAGACCAGCACCAGGAGAGCTCAAAGGGTCTCACTCTGGACTGCTGCTCACAGTGTAATAAGACAGTTGGCTTTGGTCATAGTAGTTTTCCATCCTGGCCACAGTTTTTGTCAGTAACTTTCTTTGAATGCTATATAACAAAAATATTGTTCCACTTGGGTTGTTACTCATGCAAGAAAAATAAGTTTCCAAGGATATTCATTAAAAACCAGAAGCTGCTAGCATTAGTTCCCTGGAGCAGACAGTGTTTCTGATAAGCTCAAGAGGAGCTGAGCCCAGGTGCTGTTTGTCAGGCATTACTCAGATCACAGTGCAGCCCGAGGGGCAGGGCGAGTGGGATGCACCACCACATATGTTTTCTGCATATCTCATTTGGAGTAAGGGATTATTCCCTGTCCCCTTGCACAACATCTGCTGGAGTGGTGACACGAGCCTAAGCCAGGGGTGAGGAGTTGAGCCTGGGAACAGGGTGAGGGGGGCCATGCTGATATGCTGCCAGAATTACTCATGGCACAGTGAGCCAGACCCTGCTGCTTCATATCCCGGGCAGTTCTGTCTGCTTCCACCCCAGGCAGATTTGTGGCTGCTCAGTTTAGCTCGGTGCCTCTGTGATGACAGAACAGCATTTTCCTCCCAGTTGTCCTTTGGTACATCTCAGTGGTGTCTCTTGCCTGTTGTCAGAAATCCCCATGGGAGTCTGGTTGAGGTGTGAGGCTTCATGGAGAATGCCCACATGTGAAAAAGAGAAATATCTCTGCCTCTTGTATAGAGAGGTGCTGTTGTCACAGGAGGATTTTATCTTTGGGTTACCAGGCCAATAAAGTCCTTGGTTCTTTCATCAATGCAGTCAATGAGCTAAGACTCTGTCAAGGAAGGCTGAGGGGAGATCTGGTGAGTGCCCAAGGTAGAAAGTGATCCCGTTTTTCTCTCCTCAAAGAGTGCAATCTCTGGGTCATCCAGAGGTTGGTCACCTTATCCTAGTGCCAGGGCTCCTGCTCTTTCTGGCCAAAAGACACCTTGGGCTCTGCTTGGGAGTCAGGTAGGTAATTTTGAAGCCCATCTACACTGTGCTGCAAGAAATTGCATTGAAGTAATTTAGAGATTTTTTTCTAAGCCCTGTTTTCCTGAAATCCAGTCAAGATATTTTAATGAATTTGAGGAAAAAGAATACATCCCATTAGACTGCAAGGGAGGTGGAGGCAGACAAGGGTTCTTGACACCTCTAAGACTCTTAGGTGTTTGATGAGGTCTTAGTCAGTGCTATATTTGTCTCACGGTTTTGATTTAAAATGCCAATAAGGTTTTCTTAAAATCAGCTCCTGGGATGAAGAGATTGCAGGAAAATCTCCTGTTTCACCTAAAAGGCTGAAAAATTATTGCAATTATTTCATTGCTTAGGAAACCATACAAAGGCTATTTTTTACTAGAGACGGTTTGTTCTCCTTCTTCTTTTGCTCAGTGTGGAAGGTGTTGACATTGTCAATATCCAAAGAGAAAACCTATTTGTTATGAAAATGTATATTATGCAGTGTTTATTCGGGGAAAGGAAGTACATTTTTTGTGTGTCTTCTTAGAAGAATGCTTTCAGGTTACCTCTGCCTCCAAAGGACACCGAGAAAGATTTAGCCTCTTCTGGAATCACCCTGCCTTGTTTGCACAGCCAAGAGCACGGCTGGATAACAAACAAGGGGTGATGCAGGCACCTCTGCTGCTCTGTTTGCAGGAGAAGGCCAAGTCCCCAGGAGCAGATCGTGGTGACACCATCCTTTGCAACAGTTGGCATGGAGACCAGGCAGCTCACCGAGGAGAACGCCGACTTCGCCTGGCGGGACCGCTATCACCAGTCCTCGCTCATCAGCAGAGAGGAATTCGGGAGCCAGTTCCAGTGAAGGATATACACACACATATGAAAAAAATCAATCCATTACTCCAAAAAGCATTTTGAAGTGCTAATGGCTGCCACGGGTGCCTTTTGAAATACTTGAATGTATGCACAAAGGATGTGAATAGCTATTTATGTATTTGAGGCTAGTTTGTTTATGCAAGCTACAACATTGCTGGGCTTCAAACCTTGCCCAAACTGAGGGGAAAAAATGGAAATGAAAGGGCCAGTCCAGGGAAGTGATGAGTTACTGAAGATAGTATAACCCTCTTAAAGAATTCAATTGTAAACGCTATTGAGTTCTAAAAAGCTCTCTAAAGCTTTTTAAAGAGGTTCCTGCTCTAAAAGCATTTCAGATGTCCTCTGGGTGACTGGGGACACTCTGCCTGGGAGCAGTGACATTGACAACAGGAGCTGGTGCCCCACTCCCAGCTGTGCCATGGATGGATGTGACCTTCCAGGTCAATTCACTTCTCCTCTAGGCATGAATTTCCCTGCTTGTAATACAGTAATTTTCTACCTCAGCATTTCAATTATCAAGGTCTTAGAAAGTATTTTAAGGCATTAGACAATAGGCCAGAATCAGTGGCAAGTACGAGAAGATTATGAAGTATATTCAATACTGAAATCGCACATTTAAATGCAGTAATGCAGGATAATGACCTCTTCTGTAAAACTGTGAAATTAAGTCTTGGAAGCTGTTCTTAGTTATTTCCCACATCCTTTCTGATGTGAGAGCTGAGACCTGATGAAATAGCTGGGCCCACTTTAGAGCATCTCCTGGCTGAAGGGACAGATGGTTCAGAATTGCTTTAGCAAAATCAGTTCAGCCCCAGCACCACACATCAGTTCTGACATTATGAGGAGGGAGAAATCACTGCCTTTCACTTTGTTTCATCTCTGATAATTTCAGCCTTTAGATTATTTATTTCTCCTGTGCAATAAAAGCCTGAGACACCAGGAACTCCCTTCCATCCTTTCTGTGGGCACACTCAATGCCTTTGAGCACCATTCCACTTGCCAGTGCTAAGTGCCCCGGTGTTACTGGGTAGGGTAGGGTGGGTCCCATCCCATGGTACAGCCAGCTGCAGCTTTGGCTTTTTCAGTTTTCTTACAGAGGGAGACACAGGAGGCTTTGTGCTGTCCTGGAGAAAAGAGCCACCTTGGTACACTGCAGAAAGTGTATGCATTTTTCAAGGTTGCAAGTCTTTGACTAAGTGCTTGTAACTTTAATTATCTCCATAGAGGCAAGAGGGAAGTTGTGTTGTGTGACCAGCTCTGAGCCACCTCAAATCAGTCATTCAGTGTTGGAAACACCTTTCCAGGATTCTTTCTTGCCTGCCTCTTGCTGTTGGTTTCCAAAGAATCTGAATCTGCTGCATGGATTTTGGGTCTGTGTTGAAGTTTCCCTTGGGTTCCCTGGGGCCAGTGGCTCCAAAGAGCCCTCCCTGTGCTTGTAGCATCCTTAACCATGGCAGATCCCCCTGTTGTGCAAACTTCAAACACTCCTTGATGCTGCCCCACTGCTGGCAAGCTGCTTGGTGCTATGTTACACTTTCATACCCAACCAAAATGCCATTACTGTAAAATCTTTTATTTCACAAAGTCAAGGATTCCTCAGCCCTGCATTTCTCTGTAGCTTGAACAAAAGAAAACCCCAGAGCATGGCATGAAGACATTAATAGGCAGAAAATCCTAGGTGGCTTCTTTGTTGGCTACTAAACAATTTAATTCCCTTCTTAAACTAAGACACGAGTTAGGAGATTTGGAGAGGGAGGGTGGGGAAGGTCCTTGGCTGTGTATCTCACTCACTGAAGAGTTGCACTGGTTGAAACAGGTCATTTGAGGGAGAGTGCTTGCCTCTTCAACACCGTGGCCCCTGCTTGTCTCCAAAACTGGGATGTGATGGGCCCTCGGTCCCTCTTGGTCTAGCAGTACTGGGAGGAGGTCCCACAGCTTTGCTTTCAGCTCAGTGTGCAGCACCTGTCCCCTTCTCCTGCCACCACTGTCCAGCAGCCCTTTGCACCTGAGCATCCTCTGGAAACATTCTAGTGGTGTTTGTGTGCTGGTCAAGCCTTTGCTGGCTGCCAGGGAAAGGCACCATGCTGTGCCATGCAGGGGCCTGGGGAGTGGCCATGTGGAGGGCTCTGGAGTGTGGGAATGGGTTGTGCCTTGGGATGTCTGGAAAAAGGCAGCAGCCATTCTGGCATCAGCACTGGGTGACTGTCGCTGTTCTTGAGACCTGGCAGTGGGGGAAATGCTCTGCAGAGCACTCTGTTCCAGGGGGTTCTGGTCTTTGGGCTCCACATGCTGCTGCTGGAGAAACTCTACCACCACAACAGGAAGCAGCTCCTTCCATCACCTGGTAAGCACAGGCACATGGTCCTGCCCTTGTAGCTGCAGGGAGAAATGCATTGCACAGGGCTGATTTCCTTGCTCCATTACAGGTTAAGAGCACAACAACCTTCCTGGATAATGCTTGGAAAGGGACATGTTGATCTTCCTCTGGTGCAGTTAATGGTGAGAGTGGCAGGAAACTTTATTTTAGCACCAGTAGTTGTGCAGTCTGGGTAACATTGGAGACCCCATGAGTCCAGACACTACAGGAACACAGGGCTTTGCACATCAAGGAAACTTTTCCAGCAGGAAAGAAAGAAAGCAAGCAGTTGTACAGCTAAAGATCATGGTGTCACATTAAAAACGGTGGTTTATGGTGGGCAGGAATTTATCATCTTCATATTTAGTGGCTGAAGGGAAGAAATGTGGGTGGGGATTGCTCCTGTGAGTGGTAATGTGCTGCTTTCATCCCCTGAGAGCCAAGCTGTGCCTGCACATGCTGGGGCTTTCACGAAGCTTCAGGTTCCCTGAAGGTGAGTTTGGGACCCAGCTCTGAGCATCATATGCCTTGTATATCAAGGTTGCAGCTCATCTAATGTAATTATGGAAAGGCCTTACTGTTTTTAAAGCCAGGTGAGCTTTTTTATAATTTATAATTATTTTCCTTTTGATTTGAAATTTGATTTTGAAAAATTATTATTATTATTATTATTATTATTATTATTATTATTATTATTATTATTATGCTGCAAGAAATGAAAATGTTCTGCAATGGGTCGAGATGTGAAAACATTTGTTTTTGAGAGAGATGTGGATATGGCACATGGTTTTATTACTTTTGAGGACTCCAGTTGTAAACTGGTGGCTCTACTCTTGATGGTTTCCTTTGCAGAACATACAAGCACAGAAGGAGGTTGAGGATAAATATTTTATTACTTGCCTTGCAGTACTGCCTAGAAGCTCATGCTGCATTTATGATCCCTTAGTACTAAGCAGGTCCAGAAATTGGAATTTTCAGCCTCAAAAAACTTCCAGAACAAATAGTCAGGACTAAGAATGGGCAGAAGAAAAGTGAAGTTTTGTGATATTGACATTAAGAAACAGTTTCTTGGCATAAATTGTCATTCACCTGGATCTGTATCTCATTAGGAGTCTGCACAGGGAGAATCAAACTCATTAAATCCATATCTTAGCTCAAACTTGTCTTTTTTTTTTTCCTCTCCTCTTGGCTTCTCTTGATCAGCTCTGAGTTTCTTTGGATGGTTATTGCTGTGTATGGTGGCCAAAACATCACAGACCTGCCATGGTCACTTCTTCACAGCAGACAGTTGTGACCACAGCATTGAAGCAGCAAAGAAGGCTGACAGAACATGAAATGATGCTTATGTGCATGGCTGAACTGAGGCACAGGGGGATCTCTGTACCTTATGAGGTGGTTTGCTCTCACCCATGTGCCTCTGATTTAGATTCAGACCGGCAGAGTTTCTTAAACAGCATCATACTTACCCCTGCAAGGTCAGAAGAGATTTGCTGAAGCACGAGAGTCAGCCTAGGATTAGCATTTAGGTTAGTGGGAAATGGAGGTTATTTGAATTATTGTCCTTGCCTGGTGAATTTTAGAGATGGTAATTACAGGGATAAAAGAGAGGAGATTTTGTAGACAACCTATAAATTTGTTAGCTCTATATGAAAGTGGTATATAATGCACTGGTTATGTTCTGCAGTGGTGTCTTGCTGCAACCCAGATTTGGCACAGCATCCCTTAAACCTAAGACAAGGTGAGACCTCAGCAGTAACAGCCTTAAAAGCTACAGATGAGAGGCTCTAGCAGCAAACTGCAGGCTAAAAATAAATCACTTTATAGCCCATACGGCACAGGAGAGGCTCCTTTCCTCTTTGCCTTCTGCTCTTTGTGGCTTTTTTTCACATTATTTTTATGCTCACATCCCCCAATACCTGGGATTTGCTCTCCTTGTGCAAGAGCAAACAGAGCCATGGGTGCTCCTAGAAACTTAGTGATAGAGGAGCACACCTGTAACTTTATAGGATCCAAGTGTCCATTCTAAATTTCACTGGGGGCTTCTTTCCAGATTTAAGAGCACTGCTCTGAAGTGTTTAGCTCAGCTCCAGAATGTCTGGGTGTGCTCCAAACCAGAGCTGGCTGAAAAATGTCCTAAAAGAAATAAATAAGAAATTTAGAATTGCTTCTTCCCAGATAGATTTGGATGGCTGATTTATTTATTTTCTCCCCAGAAAATAAGTGATTTTTTTTTCCAGTGGCAGCATTCAAAATGCAACATCATTTCAGGTTGTGCATTTTTCTGTGAGGGATGAAGAGAGATCACAAGAATCGTATCCATCCTGACCTCCAAATGTCAAATATGTAGAACAAGCTGCTTCCAATGGAGGTACAAGGCAAGCAGTTCTTGTTAAAATAAATCAATAAAATACCACCACCCCCAAAATTTCAATAAAAATGGTCATGTATTAAGTGCCTTTTGGATGATTGGTATCCATTAATGGATGGCTTGCAGCATCAAGAGGAGATGCAAAGGTAA